AAAAACTTTGAAACCGGTCCATTGTTTATTTTTATTATTACTCTGTATCCGTTCATTTGTTCGTGAATAGCAAACTTTTAGATTGTAACATTTGTACAACTATTACGTAACGTTTTGGTGAGCAATGCCTAACGAAGTGATATAAAGTACAGTGTATTACCTGATACAGTATTTTCAATAAAATAGCATTATCACCAACAAGCGCTGTTACTACAGCAAATGCGAGGCTGACATTGAAGCATTTTGTTTCCGCTCAGAGACCGTGCCGTGTGACTCATTTCTTGGCGCGTACAATTTATATTAGGTCAGTGTTCACGGTTTGACTTTTGATATTCAGATCGAGTTCTAGGTCCAACTGGTTTGTTCGACTTTCAAGAAATTCGAGTTCTAGTGAGTTCGAGAACCAAGGTACCACTGTAATGCATTCGAGCGTTTGTGAGCCCTATACTGTAAATAACCATCTGAATTAATCTAAGGAAATTCAACGTGTGGTAATAATATCTTATAGGCAAAAGCTTTTTTGCAATGGTGAGAGTCAGTACTTGCAGATCTGGGGACGCAGCCTCTCTCACAACTGGCTGTTTGATATCACTTTTACCATCAGTGGCCAAAAGAGTTACCATTTTTTTTCAAACGTTAAAGTCATGGAACAGACTTGAAATTGCAGTGGCCACAAATTGCATTGACGTGCGGGAGAAGTCAAAGACGGACAATAGTTTTTATAAAACTTAAATCGAAAGGCTTAAACTAGCACCCCTATGAAAACACGGAAAAATTGATAGGCCTATTTTGAAAAACAAACTGAACACATTGATATAACAACCGCTGCACACCAATGTGTACTGAGACGTAAATCAACTAGCAATCTAATCTGATAACTTTCTGACAGGAAATTTTAAACCGTCAAGAATTTTTTACTGATAAGATAAATAATATGTTAAAATACGTGTAAATAGCAAATAACCAGCAACAGCAGCAGTAAGAAAAACTTACCTTCTGACAATTCACGCCTGCCCGCCAAAACTCCCTCACAAATTCCCTCAAAAACTACCTCCGTGGCGCGAAGGGAAAAAAACCGTTATAGTGCATGGGATACGTAAAGGCGCATGCGCGTTTCGAAAACTATATTATCCATCCACCCATTATCCATACCACTTCATCCACCTCGGTCGCGGGGAAGCTGGAGCCAATCCCAGCATCTTGGGGGCGGGAGGCAGGGAAAACTATATTATATTAGAATAAATTTAAAAATAAAATAAGACTATTTTGGATATAGCCTATGTGTTTATTATGGAATAAATATTTTAAATTAAATGAATGAATGAATTAATTAATTATAATTCTTTAATGCTCACTTTTAAAATCAGGGTAGTCATTACATTGGCCCAGGACTACCAATCTAACACTGGACCAATGAGGGACCTCTTGACTTTTGACTGAAATCGGGCTGCCTTCAATTAACCCACTGTGGGCCACTGCTGTAATATTTATGTGGGCCCCTACTAGCAACTCCCACATGGGGCCACTGTGGTATCTAAATGGGTTGCCCTAGCCCACGTTGCCCTTAGTCTGCCCACATGGGGCCAATGTCTGCATGTTTGCTGGGTAGTGAGTGGGAATCAAGACTGAAAGCAATAGGCCTACTGCCATAAAGCAAGCGGGTCATCTCTGTCATCTCTGAATTACGCCACGGAATGTGTCAGCTTTTAAAATCGTCACATTGCTCCTTGATTTTATCGAATGCCCACGAAGGATTGACGTGACCGCAGATATCGCTTAAAAGAGCGATAGATATGCCATTCCTTCGTCTGAGTGGTCAAAGTGTCCTGACAGATATATTTCAGCTGAAATCAGTGAATAACAACGAAAGAAAAAGAAAAAAATGGTCATAATGTGTGAAAAGATAAAGGTCACTGATTAATTCCGCATAGGTTAAACGAGGGAACTAAGCGTCGGTGCGAACGATCATGGAGACGATCTGAGAAATCCGAATGAGGAAAGTGATTTGATGTACATTAAATGGCAAATATCGTGGGGTTTAGAGGCATTAGTCTGTAGTCACAGATAAACTGGATTTTTTTTAGGCGCAAGAACTATTTGCCGAACTATTTGACACAACAAACTATCTGATATGAAAGTAGTAACATCAAAGAAACAAGAGGTGGCGCAATAAAGTAAATTATAGTCCAGTATTGCCACTTGTATTGTTCGTCTGTACAATATGAATAATAGCATTTCTACATAGACCTAGCCAATCTGACATCATTCGTTTTGTGGAAAATTTCACTTAAACTAAGCAGGTAGTCCAAAGTGCCAGTCACCTGACATACACTAACGCACGGTGCCTTTGTACAACGAGGCCTACGGAGATATCAATTTACAATGTTGATATGATTTAATCAGATGGTACGGTGTCTCTCTGGTTAAACGTTATGCCTTCGCATTTCCAGTGCTGGGAAGCAAAGCGTTTGGAACTTTGGATGCCTCAAATCATCATGGCTGCCCCCGACAATCTGTTTCCTGTGATGGGCTGGATAAGCTGTAAGGAGGATGGCTGGACATACTTTATAAAATAAATGGCTACATATAAATATTATCAATATAATAATTACAATGCCTTCTTATCAAGGCATAATACATTTCAACTGGGTAAAGTCCTCCAGTTAAACTGTTTTGAGATTGTATATATATATATGACTACATAATATTACAATGTGTACAATAACGCATATTGTTTATCGGTTTTATTCAAAACAAACCTGGCATCAAGAAGACTTCAATTTTGTTTGCCTATTTCGCCCATAATAGGCCTAATTGTTCATTGATAATGGCATAGACCCTGCCTTTTATAGATTTTTTTAGGTTAAAGTAATTTTTACTAGGCTAACTCTTATTATAGAAACTACTTTACATTTATATTTCAATAACATTATAAATGCTGGAAGTCCCATCCTACTTGTACAATAATCTCATGCTACGTAAATACGTTATAACCAGAGATGGTGGAAACATTTTCCCATGTTGAAGTTTAACTTTCTGTAGGGGTGTTTGAACATTTTATTTAAGCATTCAGTAAATATTCCTTCTATACCTTTTAAATTTTTAGAAATCATGTTCTAACATATGTATTAAAACGGATTTTGCCGACATGTAAAAGATACTAGTGTGGGAAACAGTTTATACGAGATTTTTTAAGAATCCCCGAGGGAAAATCCCTCGAAGCATATTGGTCATTTTGTAAAACCACTCCGTGCTTACTTTCACTTCTAGATAACAGTTACACAGCTTGTATATTAACCATCGTTGTATTTTTTGAAAGTAGGGTCGTAAGATAAATAAAAAACTTAGTAGCAGTTAGTATTACATTACTGCGATTTAAATTTAGGTTGTATTAAGCCTACTGGCTGAAGTGCTCGTTTGTCAAATCAACCACAAACGACTGGCAATGAATGAAGAATGACTATATTGACACGAGATTTTCGTTCTACGTGACTGTCAAGTATCGAAACATCCCTACAACTTCGAAACTTTCCACCTTACAATCCAGAGTCATAAATGAGTGACGCTTGGTGACGCTGCGAATTCCAACCAATCACAGCTGATCTAGGCAAATACTGTAAGGCAAGGGAATTGCTTGACGCTCTAGATAACAGTTCATACTTTCTGCCAGCTCGTAGTTACCTGTCTCCTTCAAGATTGTAATATTATTTTCCTGTTATTGCTTAGGGTACGCTGCCAGCAGAGGAATAAAAGATTCCGGATACAAAGAGCGCAACCACAGACGTCCGTTTTGTTCTCTAAAGTTTTTTTTTCCCTTTTAAGGGTTTCTTTGCTGCATAACAGCCAGGAGTGTTTATTCTTAAGTACTCTGTAAAATCCGTCGCGCGTCTTAGTTTTTGTTTTATTAATTTTCCGAGGAACACTGATCATGGAGAAAAACAACGCTAGAAATTCGCCCAGTTTTGCCTTCCTACTAATTATTTTTGGGCTAGCGATCCAAGGTAAGATTGATTTTCGGTCTTCATTCTGCAAACGGTCATTTGCCATTTCGTTATTCGATGATTCGATGTGTAATGTCTGATTACTGATTTAAGATATTTTTGCGACACAACGGACATATAGCAGTCAATGTCAAATTCAAGAAATTCAGATACTTAATTCTAAGGTAGATTTACCTCTCTCTCTCTCTCTGTCATATATATATATATATATATATATATATATATATATATATATATATATATATACATACACACACACACACATATACACACACATTGTATATGCTATTCATATCATCACAAGGAAGCAAAATTCCTTGTGATGGAGATTGACTTGCGGAAGTTATTAATTACATAAACTTTTGTGTTGTATGTGGTTCCTCCTGANATATATATATATAATTTTTTTTTTCTTACGGTATCTATCTAAATACAGTACGACGGTAGGGTAGTACCTGTTATTGTCGACTTCTGCGCCTCCTATCCCGGTCTGTATGAATAGTTCTATACGCCATGTTAGTCAAGGTGTGGCCTCTTGATATTTTTTTCTGGTTGTCCGCAGGTGTGTGATCGCTAAAAATACTTTATTCTTAAAAGGTGCATGTCACCTCTGTTACTTTCAATTTCCGTACCCCATAATAGCTACATCTAGCGCTGTTTTCTCTGGGGAACGTCTTATGCGATGTCTAGTAAAATGTGCAAATGTATTATAAGTGTAGACATGAACAAAAAGCAACAGGGTGTCATTCTCTCCGTTATTGTCTTTTGAACTAGATTAACTGCGTTTTATATGTAAAGCCGCTAAGTGATTTGATCAGTGTCTTTAACGTGGTGACCGTGTCTAGACGTCTGTAAAACTGAAGAAGGGTCACTTATTTAATGTGATTTGCGTGACGGCGAGCACTTTTTATTGACCCTAATATTGTTATTAGCATTTTTGAGGACTTATTTTCTGTCAATTTTCCTCCACCTTTCACAGTTAATACCAACATAAGATTTACTTTAGCGAAACATTTTTCTGTTGTTTTTGATGTAAACCCAGCTACGCCCTATTTATGTTAATTTATGTCCTCACTCAAGAGGTCTAATCAGTTGTATACGAATTATTCAATAAGGTTGCGTCATAGTCGCAGTCCAGCAGCTACAGACACCTGATAAACTGCGGTGCCGAAAAAAACAGATGGTTTCGGGGTACATTTCATAATTATATTAACCGATTTAACTTTGGCTTAATGTCTGTTGTAAAGCTTACTTGAGCTGACTTGTAAGTCTCACGGATTTCCATAGTTTATTCCCCTTAATACACTACGTGCGGTTAATTAAATGAAGCGCCTCTAAAGTTTCGAATGTTGAAGGTTAAATGACATTGCGTCACAGTCCCTTTCGTAACAATACAGAAACGCGCTCCCTTCCTTTACTTATTCATGAAGTTTCTGCGTTACCAAATTTTACAGTGCGACAAACCTAATAAAAGCTAAACAAATGATCGTGTTTTATTAATGACCCCAAAGGGGGAGAAACGGCCATTTTGCCTTTTAAAGTGTTAAAGTTATCGTTTATCGCGTCAATGGAATAGATGGTAGAATCACATAATGATGGCCGTTCTTTTTTAATGATTTGCGGTCATTTTGCATTTCAAATGAAATATGTACACAGGCGTGTTGATAATTCATTCGTATTGATTCACGATTCCATCTTTGAGTGACCTGAGTTTGGGGAAAAAGGAAACATTTTAAGGTCTAAGATGCATTGTCATGGAGACACTTTTAAAAACTTGGGTTTGTGTCCTTGTGTTCCCCCCACCCCCCAAAATGATATTGTTCTTCACCATATTGATCTGTTTTCAGCTGCTTAGAACTGAAATTCAAATTGGTGAATTGGTGAAATTGGTGAATTTTAGTTAGGTTGTCATTTATGGGACGAGGAACTAGTTTTGTTCTTGGGTGTGAACTTCCTTTTATTTTATTGTTCATTTGATCATTGTCTCCCAGAAGTTTAAATGAACTCTTGTATCCTTTAGGCAGAGTATTCAGGTAGTAGGTTCTTACCAGTGGCAGCTGATAGCTAAGAAAAATGAGGAGGTACAGAAATATTACATTTTACAATATTACAATAGTGATTTTTTCCAAGAATTACTTGTTTAATAACTTTAATTTAAAAAATGTAGGATGTACTACCTCTTTTACCTCTATGGACCAGCTACCTCTGGTTCTTTCATAGAAATATGGCTATTTGAAAGTAACTGAATTATCTGGAATGTGATGGGACAGGCATCTTTCAAACAAGAATTCCCCCTCCCAGAAACCTCAATGGAACCCTCCTCCTCTCACGACACACCCAGCAACTATAAGATCCTTGTTCACTGACTCTTTCATGTGCTGGGGCTTTCAGCTGCTGTCCTGCTCTTTTGTCTGAGTGGAGTTAGCGGTTAGTGAATTCAGACACTGCCCCCCTCCCCCGGCCCTTTCAGCTCAAGGCCATGCTGTTTACAAGTGTCCGTGTGAAAGAGAGGAATAAGACAAATCTGAAAACTCAAATGTGCTCTTCCTTTATTGCCTTTCAATGAAGTTGCTCTGTTTTGCGGAAGAAATGTAGCAGTAATTGCATTTTTATGGAGATCCTTCAAAATCATTTGGCTGGAAGCAACTGGCAATGCTATATCTGTTTGAAAAGGTCGTCAATGTTCACATCAGCTCTTCCTTCGGCCCAATTAAGCCTTTTTGTTGATGCATCAGTACTGATGTGTAGATAAAAACATCATTTAGTATGCATGAGTCCATCGCTGGCTGGTGTCCTTAACATCTCCAAGTATGGTAGATGGAAGATGGTGACACTCTGAGTATGTCGACTGTTCACTGGCGCTACTGGGCTGGCTGATCTATGGGGGCGGGGGTCATAATGAGGAAACCAATGGGAGAAGTGTCATGGGGGGGGGGCTTATCATAATGGGGGAACCAGTAGGGGCACTGGAATGTGGACAGGCATTCTTTTAGGAGATATGCTTAAAAATGGCTTATCAAGACTGGGGTGTATGGGAAATGAATTGTTACTCAGCATTTATTGCCCCCTGATACTGTGAGTCATGAGTAAGAAATTTGCACTTCACTACAAAGAGTCTGGCTCAGTAAAGTCTCTTTTCTCTGCACCTGCTTGCTCCGCCTTCGCAATCGGACATACGAAAACCGATCCGACTGATTGATTCTCCGGGTGTCCGTCTCAAAGCTGTTTGTGTCAACAGACCTTTATTCTGTGAATAAGTAAGACCCTTGTCGGCACTCTTCCTGTGAATGTTTGATCAGAAAAAGATTACACTCCCGATAGGGAAGGTTTGATTCATCTCTGTTATAACAAGCACATGTCACAGAGTAAGATTACGCTTCCTGCTTCAGTGCTGTGTCACAGGCTATAATAAAATACTCCCACATAATTGTGGGATGAGCAATTGGCCTAGACAACCATTAATGGCACCTTGCAAGCCGGGAACAGGGAGGCGATCCGGCCCTTTTAAAGACAGCGGTGGTGGAGCACAGCCTTATTCTAAGCTGCTGCTGGTCTGATCTTTACTGTGTGTTAGTAAGGGGGTTGTGGCACCCTAGTCCTCCAACGACGAGCCTCCTGTTTCCTGGCCCATAGCTAAGAAAGGTTCATTTTGCACTTGTCACATGGCCATTTGGTCTCACAGCTGCGCCTAACCCCCCCCACCTCAGGGTGGGTATCAAAGCCCAAAATGATGCCAGGCTCTGGATACTCACTTTCAAAGGCCTCGCGTTGATTTGCCAAGTCAGTTTTGCTCCCCGGAGACAGGGCGCCGCTGTTCTCGGGGGCCGACACCTTTGGCCTGTTCCGGTTATGCATGCACTGGTCCAAGGGGTGCATCCGTGCGTGTCTCATCAGGTGTGTCTGGGGCATAGGGCTTGTGAAAGTCTGTCGGTCTCCCTGTTCTCACTCACGGTTTCCGTGGCTGAGTGACCTCATTCTGTCCTGCATTCCTTCACCATATATGGGCAACGACGCAGGATGCTGAAATTTCACTGCACGTCCATGTGCGCTTAGCATAATCTCGCCCGTTTTTATTCCTCCCCAGCGTGTCGCTCCTCAGGCTTCTTTCTCTGGCTCACTCGCTCTCTCTCTCTGCACTTGCCTGGGTGTTAAGTCCTACTCGTGGTCTGTGGGGGTGGGGGGCGCCTCTGTTCCCTGGCTGACCCTTCGTGATCCTGCAGTAGGCTCGTTTTAAATGCACCCCGCGTGGGCTGTGCCTCTGCCTGCCTGCCTGCCTCATCGACGCCGTATCGATCGTTAGGGAGCCGACGTACCAGCCTGTTTCAACTCGTTAACTTTTAAAAATGAATCCCTCCTTGCTGGTATCCGTATGCTTTGCTGGCCCCGGGAAAGTCACCCAACCCTGTCTTTTACTTAAGAATCATGCCTCCTCCCCCTTGAGAGATGTGAGGTTTGGGACTGCCCCCCCCCCCCCAAGTGTGGGGTGTCTGTGGGGTCTGTTTGTCCGTCACCACTCCCCCACACCCGTCACACTCTCTGGCGTGAAGGTTAAGCCATCGCATTTGCAGTCTCCCTTCGTCTGCATCCTCCCATCCATCTTCCCCGCGTCTCTCCGCCTTCCCCTGCCTTTCCAATTCTGCCTGTGGTCCCCCCCCCCCATCGTAACTGCCTGTTCTCCCCCTGCCTTCGTCTGCCTCCCTCTGCCAAGCCACTCGCTGTAATTCGACTCCACATCCATTGTCCCACTGACCAGTAGATCTCCAGCATTTGTGTCATCACCCCCATCCTCAGCAGGCCCCTGTGTGAAGGTTACAATGCCTCATTGTGCGCCCCCCCCCACGCTAGAAAGTAGCAGGTTGTATCACATTGTGGGGGCCACAGCCTCCCATTTTATAGTGGCCTGCTGTTTGCTGTAGTGTTTGACACCCAAACAGGTGAGTGATGGGTGTATGGCTGTGCGTATGAGAGAGTGCGTGTGTGTGTGTGTGTGTGTGGGAGGG